GACCTTGACCTTCTAGAAGATCACCAGGTTTGTCTTCTGAGGTGCTTCCGAGTGGGTTCAAACCTCCAACTGTCAGCTCATAGTTAAAAGCTGAACCATTTGTGCCACTCAGGGACTAAGCATTCTATAAATATCTATTATTTTTAGAGAAAAGTGGTCAGGGTGTCTCCTCACCTGCCAAAAACACAATAATCCCCCCTAACAACCTTAACTACAAAATTAGACTAGCTTAATTTCTAGGAACCACCACCTGTCAATGTGTCATACTGTGGTAGCTTACCTGTTGCTATGATGCTGGAGAAACAATGCTACCGGTATTTCAAATACCACCAGGGTCACCCATGGAGGGCAGGTTCCAGAGGAGCTTCCAGACTAAGACTAGCAAAAAAAACACATTAGTATCTACGTCTGAAAATGAACTAATGAAAACCTTATGGATCCTAAGAACTAAGAACAGAACATTGTCCAACTCGCTTGCTTTGGACATATCATCAGGAGGGACCAATTGCTGGAGGAGCACATCCTGTTTGGTGGTGAGATGGATCTGCACAACAGCCCAATGACAGACTTAAACATGCCAGCAACTGTGAGGATGACACAGGACCAGGCAATGTTTTGTTCTGTTGTACATAAGGTCACCATGAGTCAGAGTCAACTTGATGGCAACTATCTATCTAATTTGTAGAAAACAACTGCACATGTAAAGCCTTCTAACTCCCAAATCTAACAGAATCAGGCTCCTGGAGACTCATCTCTCCTCTTTGAATTCCTTTTTTTTTTTTTTTTTAACAAACGAAGCGACTGAGATTCAGAGAAGCTAAACAACCAAGTCACACAGCAACGGCAAAATCACGATTTAAAACTAAATCTGGTTCCAGGGTCCATGGCCAGCCAGCCTTTCTCTGGCAATGTGGGGTGGGGCTTGGGGAGCCTCTTCCTTCTCTTCCCAGCCCTTGGCCACCCAGTGATGCAAGCTCAGGAAGGGAAGGATCTGGAAAAGGTATCTGCTGCAGGTTGGGGATGGGACTTCCCACTTCTCTCAGAGCTTCAGACCTAGACTCTTCCAACCACAGTCTCCCCCAGTACGCACCATGTAATCTTAACACTGCATCTGGTGAAGCATCCTGCTCTCAAAGACCTCGACCCTAGCTTCCCCACCTACACTCCTCAACTCGGGGTGGGCTGCAAGGGCTGGGGCCGAGAAATCAGAAAGAAACACGGAAACGTCTCCCTAATATACACACGCCCCGCAAGGCAGAGAGTGAGTGGAGATGCCTTGTCCACAGGGCTTTGAGTCCCTGCCCCCACCCTTAACTTTGGAGCTGGACCATACTTCTAATGGTGTGAGGGCCTCTGATTTGCACCGGGTTAAAGGGAACAGACTGCACAACTTTCTGCCTGGTTCGAGCTGTGTCTCGAAAGCTACTGCAACGGAAAGTGACGTTCAAAAGACGAAATGAAGAAAAGTCAAAAAGGCAACATTCGGGAGCGCAGACGCAGAACCTCCGGGAAAGAGGGAATCCATCACGGCACCCGAACCTGCGGAGGAGCACGTGAGGGTAACAGCCCAGTCCCTCTCCCCACTCACCAATCCTTCCGCTCCAGTACTCACCTCCCGGAAACCCGGATCCACGTAGCCGCCGCAGCCACCGGAACTCAGCGTTTGCCCTGCCCCGTGCGTCTCCAGGCAGGGGGTGGGGCCCGCCTCGGCGGCCCTGATTGGTCAGATAAGGGGCCCCGCCAGGCTTTACTCCACGTTCCTAAACTGTAGTTTCAACTGTGAGGCGTGGCAAATAGCCGAGGTGAACAGCAGATTAGTCAACTTCCGAGGTCTGGTACTGGCGGCCGACTTTCGGAACTTGGCGGGCGCCAGAGGGTGCATTCCGATTGGTCAGGCGCGGGGCCGCGGGCTAAGCTGCCTTGAGCAGCGGAAGTTTCAGTGTTGCGGCCGTAAGGGGCGAGGCCTGGGGTTGTCGCTGCTCTTGGGTCGGAAACTGTGGGATTTTGCGGATTGTCGGGGTAAGAGGTGAACTGGCCCTGTTTTCATCACTTGATTCATCCATTCTTATTTCTCGAGTGCCTAGTATGTGTCCCCTGTGCATTCATTCTTTAAATAAATAATTATCTGAGGCCCACTTTGTGCCAGGTAGGCACTGAGAGGCAAAGAAGAATCAAAAGGGCTCGCTGCCTGGAGGAGAGGAAGGTCAGTGGAAAATATGAACATAGATTGCTAAAATCCAGACTCTAAAATATGAGCAGACTTGGCATAACATACTATACAAAACATTGTTCCATCTCCTACTTTGGCGAGTAGCGACTGGGATCTTAAAAGCTAGCAAGCTGCCATCTAGATGCAACAATGGGTCTCTCCTC